ACGATTTGCAAAAGCATGCCATTTGGCCTCTCTCTGTGACCAACTTGGGAAACTGCAAAGTATTGCATCGCTATTTGCTCAAAAGATGATCTTTAAAATAAACAAGAAATTCTGATGGCTTCTTGAGGCTACACATAAGCAATGTAGACAACCACAGCCAATCCCATTCTACAACTACGTGGAGTACGTTTCATCTCGGATTTCCAAGATCATACAAAGAGGACCTAAGTATATCCCCCACCACATGATACTGGTGCCTCTGATCCGGTGATCCTAGTGGTGCTCAAGAATTGTCAAGCGGTGACCAAATTTCCAGATATGGAGCTGTCCATCGTCTCAACATTTGCACCTCTAAAGCAACCCACGGATGACAAGAAAAACTTTTTGAACAGCCAACTCGTAAGGCAGTACTTGGCAACGGCCAACTTAAGGCTCCTGATTTCAGACAAGGAGAAGAAGTTCATCATATGCAGGGAAAAGAACTTCCTCAGTTAATCCCATGCAGTAATCTTACAGGATGACCCAACTCTTACTGTATTAAGGAAGACCAAGAAAATACTATCACTTCTGCATGTATCTTCTCTTCTTCCTGGGCATTTGGAGCCTCCATCCAATGTAGCATTCCCTAGGCTCTTCTTTGAGGTAAAAATGCATAAAGAGGGCTGGCCATTGAGGCTGCTAGTTAACAAAAGAACCCATCCTACCTACTACCTTAAAAAGGCACTTGCCAAGCTCTTAAGTGGGCTCCTTCTTCCTTCCTCTCTTGTTACATCTTCCTCCATCGTGACAAAAGCATCTTTATCTGCTGCAATAGGTAAATTGTCCCCTAATAGGTACAGTTTCTACAAAATGGATGTTGTCGCTCTCTACCCCTCTGTACCTCAATTTGAGTCTGTTATGCTTGCCAATACTCTACTCATCAAGGAGTGCTTTTCTGTGCAGCAAGTCAGAGATCTGTGAGGCTTTACTTTTTGTTACCAAACATAATTACTTTCAGTTCAATGGGAAAAGTATACCTACAAAAACAAAGGTTCCAATGGGCTCACCACTGTCTGCTGTACTAGCAGAATTAGTCATTAGGCATGTTGAGCGAAAGGTTTTTAGTTTCCCTCTCACGATAGCAACCCATTAATATATCTGAGATATGTAGACAACATTCTCTTAGCGTGGCAAGACATGGAGGAGGATTTCCTTGTCCTGAAATACTTCCTTGCAAATGTTTACTCTTCTATTGACTTTACCTGGGAAAAAGAAAATGGGGGAAAAATTGTATTTTTAGACTTAAACATCTCCAAGTCCCAGGGAGGTATAATATTCTCTTTGTTCCATAAATTTGATAATATACTCCCTTTAATCCCTGCCACAACCTACCAACCACAGCAGTACATTAATGCGGCTATAGCTCTCTTTAATTAAAAGGGCCTTTCTGTTGCCCTCCATGCAAACTGCTACCAACATTGAGCTTGCTGCCATCTGCTCAGTAGTAAATGCAGCAGGTTATACCAGTTCCAAATATAAACATGTCTTGAACAAGGTTAAAAGGTCTCTCTTTCCTGCCACCACCTTATCCATCCCAAAGGACTGCACAATAGTACGTCCATCACTACCATTCTGTGGCTGCATCACTGCCTGAGTTTGCTGTATTTTTAGACAACATGCATTACTTTTACCAGTCACCCTATGACCAAGTCTTGGGAGACTTCTATGCAATGACGGATGCTACTTCCATACTAGAGAAATCGGGTTTATAATCTTTCCCATTAGAAAACACAACATTTGGCATTCACACCCACTATGTAGGAGTGACAACTAGAATGTACCTCCAAACATCAATATTCCGTCATGGTAGGCAGGTGTGACACTGAGCTATTAAGGATGATGTTACAACACCAGCACACCCCACTATGGACTGTGTGACAATGCTCAGGTATTGTGATCAGAGGAGCCTGGTGTATGTTTGGGAGGCCTTTCTCACCATATTATTAAATCCGTGCAACTCCCCCACATTTGAGTTGCCTGCAATGTAGGTCAGCATCAGCTTATATAAAAGACTAAAACAGCATCTTTAGCTCCACTCTCGGTGCCTAATCTACACATTATGGCACATCTGTGTAACCACCATGTGCACTTTAATTTAAATTCTTTGTTTATTTATTTTAAATATAGTTTTGTTCTAAAGGACTAATGCTGTTAGTTTTTAATTTGAAAAGTATGTTTGAATGATTTGAGTTTGTAACAGCCTAAGGACGACACCATATAATACATCGAAAGTGCCAGTGAATAAAGCGGTATTTATACATATTTAATGCCTTTTGTGATAGTTTCTTTTCTTGTTTAAATTGCATTTAGAATTTGATTCTTCAATAAAATGTATGTAGAGAACAACATACCAAATGATTGTCATAATTAATTAATATTAAATTTAATAAGAGATGGCACCTAAACCTTACCTCTAGTACCAAATTACTTAGTTAATCATTAATAGCTTCAGGCTAACTGACCTTCACAACAGTTGCCAAGGTCAGTTAGCCTGAAGATGCTTGTTTAACAGTCAAAAACATTTACTTTCTTATAATTTTGTGTTGAAAATTGGTTTCATTCACCATGTTTGTTAAGTATACCCAGTTTTGTGTTGTTGGTTGCAGAGAATCTTTAATTTGTTTTATAAGCTTTAAACATGAAGAATAATAACAATAATAATAATAATGCTAATGCTACTATAAAATAATAAAATAATTGTTACACCAAAAAAATTGTGAAGTTTAAACCTACATAGTGTTGCTCCAGTGACTAATGTCATGTCCATTCAGCTGTTGTCACTCTAAGAAAACATGAAACTTCCAAAGCCTTATAAGCTGAACACTCAATTTTCAAAGGCTCACTTTTTAGACAAGCTTGAGAAGTGGGTCCATTATTTGGACAATGAGCTGTTTGTGTTAATGGCTACACACACACACACTAAGTTTTGTTTGAATCAGAGACCCAAACAGCTGACCCTCTCCTTGTCACTGGAAGAACAGAAGAGAGTCAGAGGAAAGATTCTTAGAAATAAATTTAATATGTAGTATCATAATTAAAATTTCATCTAAATATTTAAAATTCTTAGTCAATCACAATATATTTTATGTATAAGAATAGCTTTCTTGCATTGAATGGTATAGTCATTTATAAAAATTTCAAATGTTGAAAATATTAAATAAGTAAACTAACTTACATATAAAAGTGTTATCAAATATTTTTAAGTTTGTAATTCTTTTATACATATTTTAAAATATATAATTGCATAATCAGTTATCAAATCAGCAATAGTCTTCAGAGTAAATTTATGTGAACCTTTTATATGGTTCAAACTTAATACAGGTTTGGCTTTACATATAATTTGTCAAATAGAAGGTGGGCTCTATCAGTCAATGTATTACACAGTGATAATGTGTGAAATTTTGTTTCAGTAACAATAACATAATACTTTCAGATAAACCATCTGGAAGGGTGTTATTACTCACGTTCTGTCTTTCAAACCAACCAGCCAGGTTGATAGCAAGAATATGGTTAGATAAATGTAGTTGGACAGTTCAGTCCTGGCCATTTACAATGACATCTTGAGCTCATTTCTTGATTTTAAACCATCATCATACAAAGCCAGAAATCACACAGATAATTTATCTGTATGATTTCTTGCTTAGTATGACAATGATGGATACTAAAACAGTTTGTGACCATTTATAGCAAATTGGAAAAGTAGAAAAGTTTAATAGTTTCTCGTGAACTCAATGAAAAAACAAAGTTGTTAATTATTGATCTGTTTATCACTGCTGTTAAGAGACAGAATGAGTCAATTATTGAAACATGATAAAATAACATGTGATAATTATAAATGATTTGGACAATGGTTGGATAAGAATGAACCACTTAAAAAAACACTCAAATGCAAACTTCATTTAAAGAAGAAACTATTTTCTGGTTTATGTTAGGTATTCTCTGTTATGAATTTCTTAAAACCAGACCTGATTATCACCTCAGATGTTAATGATATCAATTTTACATTCTGGATCAGCATTTATACAAGACTGCCAATTTTAGTCAATAGGAAAGTTCTTTTACAAGACAACACATGACTACATACGTCAGGGGTGCACAACCTGCGGCCCGCGGGCCACATACGGCCCCTTATCAATGTTTATGCGGCCCGCAGACGGTACAGGCCAATTCCCTTCTTTCCAAGTTTCTAAGTGTAGAACTTTTCCCTTTCACAAAGTCATTAGCACCCAACTGTTTTATAACTCCCTGAAGTGAGAAATGGGGGGGTTCTATAAATAAGTCTATTTCTAGCTAACACTTTCTGGTTTAGATATCGAATATTCTAAGTCTAATACATAGTATTATAACGATTTTTTGAAGAATCAAATAAAATAAAATAATGATAGAACGTCATTTCCGATGTTATCAGGAAGTTTCTATTTTGGCGGGAAATCTTCAATTTTATGCTTTGGAAAACTTGCTTATTCGTCTAAATAACGTCAAATAACAAAAATAAATGAAAATAGCGCTGAAAAACTATGAAAATAACGATTTTTTAGCATTTGTTTATATTCTAGATTCTGATTGGTATTGTCGAATTTGAATCAATCTCTTCTGAAAAGACACTTATTCGTCAACCTAATGTCATTCAAACTAGAAAAAACTAACCAAAGTTCAAAAAGAAATGTACAAAAAGCTATAACAACCAATAATTTACAACAATATCTCTCCATAGACTAAGAATAGAAAAATTTTTTTCGCATCAAATTTATTATTATTAAGTTGGACCAAAAAAATTAATACTGTAGTTGGAAGAGTCATTATGACTAAAAGGAAGCCGTTTGCACTAAAATATTTTGGATTTAATAATTATTACAAACTGCGTCAAGCCATAAACTTGTCAACAAAGAGGGTTGTAAAATGATTCCGTGTAGCTAGAAAGCTGCGGTTTCTTTTGTTTGAAAGAAAACGGATATATTTAGGTTATTTAAGTAGTAAATTAATTGGAACTTTTTATTTACTTTTATTTTTACATTCTTTTTTTCGTAAATTTAAAATTAAATTATTATTTTTAATTTTTCACCTTGCTGAAAAATTACCTTGGGGACAGGCAAAAGGAGTTAGTCCAGTATCATTGCATAATTCACCAACAGCAACTTTGTGCAAAGAAGCTGGGATTTGAACGTCTGCTGAAAGATGTCTATGATACTGTGAACTTAATCCGCCGTCATGGACTCAACCATCGACTCTTCACATCATTTCTTGAAGAAATAGATGCTGATTATGCTGACCTGCCCACGTATACTGAAGTTCGTTGGCTGAGCAAGGCAACAGTCCTCAAGAGATTTGTGGAGCTATTGGGGCCTATTATCACTTTCCTCTAATAACGGGGGAACACTACAAGGAATTTGGAGGAACAAAGATGGCAGTGTGATTTAGCTTTCCTTGCTGACATTACTGCTTATCTAAACGACCTTAATTTGAGATTGCAGGGAAAGATGCAACTTGTTTCTCAGTTGACAAGTAACATCAATGCATTTATGACCAAACTATCACTTTTCAAGTCCCACATGCAATCAGAGAACTTTACACACTTTCCACATTGCAAGGCCATGAAAGAGAAATACCCACATATGAAGATGGATTACTCTGACCAAGTTAACACCCTCCTTACATCATTCAATGAGAGGTTTGGTGAATTCCAGAAATACAAGATCTACCTGCAACTTTTTTCAACTCCATTTGATGTGAAAGTGGAAGATGCCCCTCCAGATGTCCAACTTGAGTTGATAGACATCCAGTGCAGTGATGAATTGAAATCACAGTTCAAAAATTCTAATCTCCTCACATTCTACAAAGAACTGCCAGATACATCATTTCCAAAACTGAAAGACAATGCTCGATTTTGTGCAAGCATGTTTGGCAGTACCTATGTATGCGAACAAGCATACATAGGTACTGCCAAACAAGCTTGCAAGTTTTCGCTTATGAATTTAAACAAGTGCAAAACACGGAACAGGTTAACCAACGAGAATTTGGAAAATCTGCTGGTTGTTTCAACATCTGCCATTACACCAGACATAAAGAAGATTGCCGCCAGCATCCAAATCTCAGCCATCGCATTAATCGCTTGGAGGTCCGGTACCCTGATCAGTAAACTTAAACCTAATTTGGCCCTTCTTCACAAAAGGTTGTGCATCCCTGACATATGTGAAAAAATCCAGAAGCTTCAGAATTTAGGACACAAAATTCTGCTTTATTTACATTATTTGCCATATATCTCCTGTAGATTATCATTTATTTTTTCTCAAGACAACTTTATATGTATAAGCATTTCAGTAAGCAGGATGTTGATAATGAAGTCATCAAATGCATTTTTAAATTCCAAAATGACTTTTTTTAAGTCTGAATTAAAAGTCTAGAGGAATATTAGAGTTACTGATGCTTATAACTTTTCTCTAAATGTCCACTAACTTCACCAACATTTACAGTATTTTGATGAATGAACTTAATTTTTTAGTTTAAAAACTGAATATTTCTTTCTTCAGCATGATCATTTTATTATTAATGTTGTCATTTCTATTTTGTTAAATTAGATATTTGCATGAACTAACGGTATTTGAATTATTGATATTGTTTACTTTGTTGCCAGCAATTTATTTTTGCATTTTCTTACTTAATGATTCATATTGCCATAAGTCAGCTCAATATGGGTCAAGGGAAGCTGTAACAATTATGAGATAAATGACAAGACCTGAGGACATATCAAACGGGAACATGCACGATTCAATTTTTTCAATAGGTGATGGTGACAATAAAATTTAGTATTGGTCATACTGTGAAACATAATTGTTTTTCAAAATTCCCAATTTTACATGAAAATTTCTGCCATATATCAAAACAAGTAGAGCAATAAAAAGAAAAAATAGTAACTCAATGCAAGTAGTACATAACAAAATAAAAAAAAAAAATACTTGCTTAACAAGTTATGTATTAACCAAGTTTTGCTATGCTTTGTAGCAAAATCTAATTTGTTAGAATTTGCTAGCTGTGTTCTATTTGAAAGCTGCATTTATCAAGTAGTAATGTAAAAATTTTGAAATTCTAAAAATTCTGGATCAGCAATGCTGCTCAAAAATGAATAAAAAAGTTAAACCAAATCAGACTTTGACAAAAGTCAAATCAGTCAATAAAAATTGAGACGTGTTTTCTCTGCTTATTACAACAGATCACTTCAAGACAACATTATAATGAATAGAAAGGAAAACTAGTTATATTAGTTTAAACCAAGGATGAGGAGTCAGAGGAAAAATACACGACTCCAAGTTGATATTTTTAAAAATTGACTTTGACTCTTAATTCCTTTCACTAATGCACCATGAATAAGTTAGTAGTTTGTTTAATAAGTTAGTATTTTTACTTATTACAAAGAAAAATATAATATTTAAGAAGAATATTTGAATTTAAAAAAAATATAGTATTTACTATAATTTTTATTAATTTATATAGTAACATAAATTAGTAACGTAATACTTTAATTGCATAATAGGATTTATGATTTCCAAATGGTTTAAGTGAAGATCTTAGTGATGTTCTTCCCCAAACTCCGTCTCATTGAGTTGGTTTCCGTGTGTATCACGATTTGATATAGTGATCCAGGTTCGATGGCAAGCACACCTCCACACTCAAATTGATAATATTTATAGTTTATTTATAGATTCTATATACAGAAAGTACAAGTTTGAGAACATAATATATGTACAGGATAACAATGCGTGATGACTCACGTACTAGATTGGTTTCTGGGAACTATTAAACTTTGGAGAGGCCTCAGTCAGCTTGTGGAGTTGGCTCAACTGCACGGTCCATCCAGTCTCTGCACTAACCCATCTCTGAGATGTTTACCAGGGGAGAACACACTCTCTATGCTCAGTGGGTGTCCAAGTGCCTGAGACTACCATGTACCAGTCTCTTGCCCTTCTCTCTCCCTCTCTCGTTCGCCCTGCAATTTAAGTGTTTTTTGGATGGGGACTTCCGACCAATCACAACTCCTTGCCTGAACACCTTACACTCGGGTTCGCCATCATCTGACGAGAGTGAAGCTTACATAAATGTCCTCCACTTGTTTACATTTAGTTGTTTACCATATGGCAAATGGTCTGTCATATGATCACAGGTGGGTCTAATTGACAAAGTCGGCACTTCCTTTGTTTTCCCTCTGTTTACAAGTCAACACCCTACAAGTGATACCCGACCACACGTGGGTCCAATTGACAGGTTTGTGCCTCTTTAGTTCCCACTCTGCTAAAAGGTCAATACTTTACAGTTTACATGAAATAATAAAAGTTAAAAAGCAACAAAGAAAAAAAAAGGAAAGAAAGAAAAGAAAATATTGAGTTTTTACATTTTAACCATTTTATATGAATATGTTAACTAAGAACACTTTTCAATTTTGGGCTTGGACGTTTTTGGCATTGCATATGCATAATACTTATCTAACAGTACAATTTTTTGCCTTTATAAAAAAAACTGAAAGACTAATAAATTTTTATTTTATTTATTACAAGTACAAGTACTTCCATACAAGGGGAAAAATAAAACAAAATTAATAAGTAGGCAGCCACATAATAGTCACTTAATTGTATTTAAACAATACAGTTAACACAAGTAGTACAAGGATTTAATGAAAAAGTTATACAATCTATATAACATTATCATCAACATATTTTTATCATATAAATAATTCTTTAAAAAATTGTCAGTGAGAATTTCTCTCTTTAACTATATAAAACTGGGCACCATTCAAAAATATGCATTAATATATAATCATTATCAGGCAAGAATGCCTCTTAGAAATAGCTATATACTGACCACTCAACATAATCTGGTATTAAGATGTAATTGCATATACATTAACAAATTTTTCATAGGAAATCCAATGTTATAATTTAAGTAATTGGCAGTCTGCCAACCTGTACTTCTATCATAAATATTATGTCACTGAAGTGAAACATAAGTTGTGATCAATTATGCAATCAAAACATATCTACCGTATTAGCCCGAATATAACGCGATATTTTTCGACCATTTATTTTCCGTTAAAAAATCGACTCGCGCTAAATTCGGGGTTTAAGTAATGGAATGTAATATAAACAAGGACATTTTCTTACAGAGGTTGCCTGTGTTATTAGCTATACAGTAGAGCGTTGTTTATCCGAAAGCTGGTTTTCTGAAACGTCTGTTATCCGAAAGCATTCCAGTCGGCAAATTTAAATTTTCGCTAGTGCTGTGGCGCTGCAATATTCGGCTATTTCTTGGGTTACTCAAATATTTTACGTTTTTTATACTAAATTAACATCTGAAGTATAATTTTTTATTGTTTTTATATTTCTCGATATATTTATTTTGTTTGTACAAAATAAAAAAATAATTTTTAACGATACAATAGTCTTCGTTAGGTTTAACGTCGACGAAAATTCAACGCGAAGCGACATGCAACGGAGAAAAATTTCAACATGGGATAAATTAATATATTTTTTCGTATATGATTCGTTATCCAAACCACCCCAGTCCCAATTGATTCAGATAAACGACGCTCTACTGTAATTACATAAATAAATGCTTATCTGATTGAATTTTACTTTCTTTGAATTCTGTTATGAGTATTATTTTTTTTCTAAATATCTTTATGAAAATTTTGGAGTCGCGTTAAATTCGGGGTTGCGTTATATTCGGGCTAATACGGTAGTTTGTATTATATTGTACAAATAAGTTCTCAACTGTAGCTGTGAATGATTCAAAAATACAAAAGAATGGCCTAAATTATCAAAAAATGTTTTTAATTGATAACACCCAGTTTCTCTTACTTGAATTTCCTTTTTTCAATAAAGAATTATAAACACAGTAATAAAGATTGTGATGAGGAAGATCAATAATCTTAGACCAAAACAACAAAATATTTTTAAAATATTAATTTCAAATGGGGGTCTCCCTAATTCCAATTTTACAGCAGAACTTGGCACTGAATGCTCAAGCTTAAATAATCTTTTGAAATATCTTAATTGAACCTTCTCAATTTTTTCAATAAGATCTAAATCCCAAACTGGGATCAAATATGTCAGTTTAGACTTTAACATAGCATCAAAAAGTTTAAACATTGCTTTAATAGAGTTCATCCTCATTTTTGTCTGAATAGTGCCAGAAGACAACCTGTCTTCTGTAATACAGGGTGTCCACCATGAACCTGACACATTTGAAACTCTATTTTGTACTTGTAGTCTCTATTATTGGTGCATATATATATATATCAGTGGCGTGCCGTGACATTTGATGATAGGGAAGCTATGTTTCTATAAGAAGCCGACTTCCAGGGGCAATCAGTTAACTCTTTCTTTAAATATATTTTTAATAGATTATTAGTTTCTGACGTACTTAATAAACAAGTTCAATATAATTACCTTTGTTATTAGATCCAATATATTCCATACACCCTCTAAATGCCAATTCTTGCTTTGATAAAAGCATATAATATCTATTTATTTAGATATAATATATCTTATTAACCATAACTATCTCGTTATAATTTTCAATATTTATTTTATATTATTTACTAATGTTAAATTCTATTCCGCTTCGATTTCCAAATTGCTTCAAATACGAAAGAATCGACGATTTTTCGTGTTTTTTGCCAGCTAAATTGTCAAAGCCATTCTTATTCCGCATACTAATTTCATTTGAAAATAGTAGGCAAAGCCAACAAAACAATTTTTGCATTTATATGCATTTACAGAGCCATTTTATCGCGAAAATGTCGAACAAATTTTTTTATTGAAGTGTTTATATTTAACTTAGGTATTGGCCTTTCTCTTTTAATAATGTTTTCTTTTCCATTATATGATCTTGAGCCAAAACTTTTTAAAATAAATATTTAAAACCTACTCGGTGAAATAAAATGTGTGGTGGATATACATACCTGGTACAAAACATCCTTCAATTGTATGAATATGCTTTTAAAGAAAATTATAATTAAATATAGCTTTGTAATGAAACATACATTAAAATAACAAAATATTCTTTACTCTTTAAATCTTAACCACTTAATCAAATAGCTCCCTACGAGTGGAATCAGAGACAGTCCTGCTAGGTGTGCGGTGTGTACATGCACGCGAGCTGCCAAATCCTAAGGGTGCCGATACTGGTCAATATCAAATGCCTATTTATTCACATCACTAAGTATATCTTGAAAGACGTGACAGGGTTCTTGTAAATTTTAAACATTTCTCACCATAGCTGTAAAAGTCTAAACATGTTAAACTTAATAGATTGTCCGTCGTTTGTTTTCTAATTTGTTTTAAGACCAGGTGTCGTCCACGAAAATTTCCAAAATTTACAACTTTTTGGTCACTCTCGTCGAACTGGAAAAATGTCTGTCTTTATTACGTCTAATATTTCAAAGAAATCAGTCCCACTGTACTCTGCTAGAGATTAGTTCAGTTAGGCTTTTGTTTAAGTAAAATTTTGGCTCTTTGGTCAGGGTTTTGTTTATGTCCCCAATTCCCTAATCGCTTAATTATTTAACTACTACTTAAGTAGAAATAAGTTGAAACCAGTTACTTTTGTACTCGAATATTTGTAGTCTCGGGAAAAAGTGGGAAGACAAATTTTTATGACAAATGGATACGTAAATTGTAAATTTAAGGAAAATAAATTCTAGAGCTTTTTCTGTACCTCGTGCATCTCTCTCTCGTTCATTTAATTTAGTTGTAAATTATGCTACCAAAGTAACAGTTAATTTTTTAACATTATACAAGAATTGTACACTTTTTTTCTACATCTCCTTAAAGATGGGATGTATGAAATCGTAATATCACCGGTTTAACATTGAAATCCGTGAGTAATATAAAATCAGAGAGCAGAATAAATATATCAAATATTTTAACAGATTTTTTAAAACTCCTGTCAACTATACAGAAAACTATCATAAAAACATACAGGTAAATTCTTATAGGTTGGGTTAAGTTATAAATATACTCGTGATTTGCGTAATCGGGCGAGGGCGGCCAAATATCTAGCGGGTGGGCGGCTAACAGCCTGGAACCGGTCCCGGATAGAATTGGATGTGTTATATGTGTAGCAGCCACCCAAAGTCCTAGGCTTCCATCGGCTAAACCAGGTGAGGTTGGTGCTCTGTAAAGTGCCTGCGCGAATCTGGCTGTTTGGATGCTGACAATACAGCATTTTCACTCCACTACTCTGCCACTAATATTCGAATATACAATAGCAATTTTTTTTACGTGTAGTATAGAAATTTGTAATAAGATACATAATGCGGTTATAATAAAATTTTGTGCAATTATTTTCATATAATTAAAATTAATATGTATTTATTTTTTAGAAAATACAAGGGAAGTGGTGCATCCACCGCTTCTAATGATGGCAGGCCACTGATATATATGTAATATAAGAAAATTGTTGAGAGATAATTGTTAAATAAATTAATTTCACAAAATTATTGCAGTTAATTGACTTTTATGTAAAAATGTAATGTAGTTTATACTGTTGTAAAAAATCTACCACTGAGGATGTAAAGTAATGCACATTTTATGATGAAAAACTCAAAAAATTTTATTAAAAAAAATTAGTGATCCTCTACATGAGCTCCTTTTGTTGCACGTAGAACATCGAGTCTATACTGTAAGGTCTCGTTTTATGCGGTGGATACGTTCTACAGAAAAGCGCATATAAAAAATTCGCATAAAAAAAGACTTTACTTGCCTTGAAAAAGTAGGGATACGTTCCGTAATTTTCTAAAATCGCATAAAACCAAACCAACGAGTTAAAATTAACTTAAAACCGCATAAAAAAGTTTGCAGAAATTAAAAGAAATAGGTTGCTTAATAAATTACTTTGAATGTCTGAAAGAAATTCATATAAAAGCTTAAAATAAACTTGTATTCAAACTTAATTCAGTTTATTTTATTGAAAAGTAATACAAGGGGAATCCCCAAATTGCAAAAGCTCACTCTAAAAACAAATCACTGACATCTGGATGTGAAGAGTTAATTAAAAACCCTTTAGTTCCTCACCCGAGTTAACTCGGGCAGGTTACGAAGTGTTACATAAAACACAGTCCTTAAGGTCGAAATTTTGTATTGAATTTTTGGGATGTTTTTTAAGTCTCCAAATTTTTTAAAAATATATGGCCAGCTAGTGTTCACCCTATTTTAAACCCTTGTCCTCCCGCGACGTCTATGAGAATGCCCCGGGAAATCCAACTCCAGGTGTGTTCAAGATCATACAGATGTGTAAATAATGACTCATCCATGTTAAATTTCACAGAAGGGCGAGACAAAGGAAGCTAATTAAACTTTGAAGCTTTTTCTTCAAAATTAACGCATTTCTTTCGTTTTTTCAGTTTTAAGTATTTTTTATGTTTAATTACATTTATATCAAAAATTGCTAGGAACTAAAGTGATTAAGGTAGATCTAGCTGTCCTTTACGTCCATAAATGTTATGTGTCAGTGGAACAAATGGAGTGAGCTTTGAACGTTCCACGATTTTTGGAGACTGTGTATATGCGGGCTTCCTAAACAAGCCTATATCTATGCTTGTCCAAGAAATTTTTGGATGAAATACAAACCGCACAACTTCAAAATCGCATAAAAATAATCTGCATAAAAAGAGACCTTACAGTACTCCATTTCCTGCCAGATTCTTTCAAGCATCTCGGGCGTGATGACAGCAACAGCATCGTGAATGCGCACACGAAGATGTTGAAGGTCATGAATTTTGACACTGGTGTAAACCTTGTTCTTAACAAATCCCCAAAAGAAAAAGTCTAAGTCCAATTCAACAATTGGGAAACTGTTCCCGGATTGCCACTGCCATATGATTTTAACATGGTCCCCTTTGTCAAGAAGTGTTGTTTCCATAACTTGAGAGTGTTCCTCGAGGGTGGCATCTTGCCAAATACGCAACAGAAGTTCCGTTGCACTTGAATCACAGAATTTGTTTCAGCGTACCTTGGGTACCCCCAAATTTAACCTTAGGTAAGCAGTCATTCATAAAATGACGAACAAACACAAATTCTGGAAAAAAGTTGCTTAGTACTCAACTGAACAAATGCGACTCACTAGACCAAATTTTCGATTAATAACTTATTTTTGTCATCCATAAAAAATTGAAAATTTTGCCAATACTTCTGATTAAGATCAACAAAAAAGCTCAGAAAATGGCAATACTTTGTAAAAAGAAAACACCCTTGTTTTACTAAAATTAATATGTCATACAGTACATTTAATTGTGATTGTTAATTACTTATTGATTGGAAATAAATTATCAATTGCTTTCATAAACATATTTCTCTTAGTAAAAGAATAATAAACTTTTGCTAACATCTGGAATGTAATCTGCATTAGTCTTTTGTTCTGTATAGCACGGATTCGCATAACACAGCACTTTTTCAGAATGTAACTACCGTGTTATATGAGGGATAACTGTATTTCTTATTTTTAAGAGAACTTTATAAATAATGAATCTCATAAAAAGGTTTATTTTAACTTATTTATCAAACTTTAATATTAAAAAAAAAATTAATTTATGGAAAGTTTTCTTCAAAAATATTTGATTTGAAAAATGTTTTAATTAAAAATTTATTTATTTTAAAAATTTAATATTAATAAAGTGTATTTGATTCTTTTATGTCATTATATTTGTATACATTTGTATGTTTTAATATAGCAGAAAAAAGAGGCCATTTGAAACTGACATTTAATAGTACAAGCAGTAGAAAAAGTCAGACAACATTTCCAGGCTGTGGTTATGCTGTTCCCATGTAAGTTCTAAAATTTATGAATCATTATTTGATTTCAATGTATAGTTATTTTTAGAAAAAATTGTAGGTGATTATATGAATGCAAAGATTTTTTAAATTTAAACAATTACACTAAAATATTTGAACAGGTTAATTTAGTAGAAATAGAATTTAGCAGACCTGTTCGAAATGATATTTTAATTAGAAAAATTTGAAGTTTAAAAACTAGAATTCGTTTTGTTTAAGATGTGCTTGTCATCATTATAAGTAACATTTTCAATATTAGGCTGCAATTATGCAGAAGTGAAGAGGGAAAAACAGGCAAAAGAGAACTTTTGGAATCAGAATTTGAACTTGTGATACAGTTTATGGAGAAGAGGGAAACGAGTTCTTGCAAGAAATGCACCACTCCCTCATGCTTGACAGTTAAATCTGTTGAAATTTCTTTTGTATTTTTCTCTTCTCTCTTGAGGTAGTAGTTTGGAAGCCTTGCTTCCATGCAATAGATGTAGCACTACCAATGGACATGTAAAATTTGTCAAACTTTTCCTTTCCTCTTTTGCAAGATGTAACTAGAAGAACAAGTAATTATTTATTGTGATATCATCACAATGCTGAGCTGAAATTTTTATCATATTTTTAAATTTATTTAATTTAAAATATATGTTCTACCTTAAATTAGTAGTGTCATGCCTCACTACATCACACTTTTCCTGTTAGCAGCAGAGTCATATGTCATCTATCTAACACCTTACAGGGAAAAATTTTTGAATTGAAGTAATGTGACTTCTGATTTGCATTTTAAGTTCATATACATTTAATTGGGGTCTCCTGCTATTAAGCTTTCTGTATCTGATCTCAGCTTTCATCTGTCTAACTCCATTTTTGAGATTAAGGGAAGACAGACAGATGGATGACAATGGGAATTTATAGGTCTACAATTTTTTCAAATTGCAGCCCAATGATAAAGAGAGTACTTCTGTAGGCACATAACCTTGGTTTACTTTGTTTTCCCATCTGCATAAACTCAGTTTTACAAATCAAAATTATATTCATAAAATATCTAATTAAATAAATTTATACATATAGAGTATTATAATATTATGTAATTGTGTTTTAATAAATTCCATATAATTTATTTAAAGTGAGAAAGGTTTAGTTCCAAGAAGCATTCAGTCATCTGGAAAATTAAAAATATCTCCTGAAGTTGTAAGTAACTAATTTATAAATAATATATTACTTAGAATTCTTTAGATTTATTAAAATAGTCGTCAAAATAAGTCGGTATTTTTATTGAGCATATTAAGTGTCTTTTAGTTTTATTGAAACCAGTTTTTTGACATATTTGTTATGTTTTAATAATTCTGATAAATAACAAATGAATATTTGTTTTATTTATTAGAAATGCAGTTTGGGATACAATGACTTCTTTAATTTTTGCATTTTTAAAATTACACAAATTTAAAATAATGTGTGGCAATTTATGTTTATGAAGAGCATCACAATAAGTCAGTATAATTGCTTGCCATTTTCTCATTCTGGTTTGCTGAAGATTGTCAGTTGATATTCAATTGAAAAATATATATATATATATATATAAGCCCAAGAATATAATTAAAACGTGCATAAAGGATGGAGANTTTTTTATTTTGGTGTTTTTTACTTATTTTCAATTAAGGATAACTTAGCTAAAATATGAGGGCTACATTCATAAGCCTATTATTATATTCTTGGTGATTACATTATGTGAATTTAAATTGTGCAAGACATTCTGAAATATAACTCTTGTATAAGTTTAAAAGTCACTTTTTATAAGATGATAATTTATGTAATCTATAATTGTAATAATAATCCTATTACAGTAGAATCTGTTCATTGTAATCAATTTGTGACTTGCCTGTATTCACTTATCTATATCAATAACTGATAGCATTCAGTGGTATAATTAAATAAACCAGTGGTTCTCAACCGGGGGTACATGTACCCCTAGGGGTACAAGCGTAAATCGAAGGGATACATCTAGCTTTCATTATAAAATGGCGTAATAATTTACAGCAAATTGATTAACATACGCCATTTTATAATGAAAGTTAGATGTACCCCTTTGATTTACGCTCAATGAGATGGGGGCTTTTTATGTTTTTACTGGACTATTGGTATTAGGAATAACGAGGCCTTGATCGTACCCCACTGTGCAATGTGTGTCACTGTATGCGTGCATTACTTGATATTTAGCAAATTTAGACGTTACGTTTGTTACAAAAATTAAAAGATTCTTGTATTGTTTTGCATGTTATAAATTCACAGCCATTACTTTCAAGATCAGTACACAATTATAATCTCTATTTAAGGCACTAACAAATATTGTAAAAAACAGTGCGTTAAATACTAGACTTTTGAAGCAGATTTGTACTGAAATGGATAATGATTACAACTGTGTACTATTTTATATAGAAGTACAGTACTTGATTAAATTTATTATCATTTACGTAAAATAAGTAATCCACTTTTAGTTATAGTTAGAGTTTTTTTATGGCGCTCGGTTATAAGGGCTGTATACATCTAACGCAGTAATTATAAAATTTACATACAAAAATATAAGGGGTACTCGAGAAGCAACTAATGGGCTAATGGGGTACATTAACAAAAAAGGTTGAGAACCACTGAAATAAACCATGATTTCCAATAATTATAGTCTTACTTATTTTTTTATTTTCATACTAAGGATGATTAAAAAAAAAAAAAATAGAGTCAAACTATTTAAATGCAACAAAATATAATAATTTAAGAAGAAAAATAAGAAGTCACATTTATACTCTTTTAGATTAATTTAAAAATAATAATAATAATAAAATCAAATTAAATAATTTATGTCTGTAGACTGAAGATGAATATTAGTCATATTGATGAAATGAGGTCTTCTCTATGAAATTTGCCCCACCAGTGGCCAAGCGGTCTTTGTACCCTGAACACTGGGAGTTTGGTTGTGGGTTTGAGCCTTGCTTGGACAGGCTGGCCACATGGAGTTTTCCGGGTTTACTCCATGTCTGTAATGCCTAAATAGGGCCAGTTTTCTGGAAGGCATCCCCCTAGGCAGATCGCCAAAATGTTGCGTTGCCATAATTTAACAAACAACAACTCTATGAAATTTAAAATCTTATACAAACTTCAAACTTTATAGATAGTTTTTTAATTTTATCATTTTAAATTTTACAACAAGATGATGATTATAATTATTTGAAGCATTCTGGATATTTAAATTCTTATCATTTTCTCAAAATAAGCAAGTTAATTTCTAACAATTTTTAGATGAAACAATTTCTGGAAATGTTAAAAGTTTATATTTTATGAAATCCGATTGCAAAAATGTTTGATGATAATTTTTTATTGACATTTAATTATAAAAATTTAAGATAAACCAAAAGGTAAAGACAATAGTGATGAACTTAACATTTTAATAATGTTATATTTTGTATAAAATTATCAGAATTATTTTTTACCAGTTTAATAATATATATTTGAAACATGAATAAAATAGAAAAGTATTTTTGATTATTAAAAAAAATTAAATGTTAATGTATATTTTCATTAATATTTCAGACTTATGATTTTACTGCTGATGATTTAACTGATTTGGGAGAAATTGGTAGAGGAGCATTTGGTACAGTAAATAAGATGGTTCATAAGAAAAGTACAACAGTAATGGCTGTAAAAGTAAGTTAAAAAATTTTTTCCAAATAATATGGAAATAATCATTTATTAACCTTTTCCATAAGTCAAAGTCATCAAATCAGATGCCTCATTAAAAAATTGTTTAATCTTTTAAAATAGTATATATTTATTATTATTAATAAAAGAATCATTCAAAAAGTATGTTTTAAACAGAAATGTATTTTACTGAATATTTATACATAAGGAAAGAAATTTTCAAAAAAATATATTTATATTATTTAGTTATATTAAAATAACAGGCAAAGCCATATTAAACAACTTTGCATTTCCTTCTATCATTAACATTCATTTGTCTCCTACAAATAAAGTATATTCATAAAGTTGAATGAGTTAAACAAGAATGACATCATTGTTATTCTTACTTTTATAATGTAATGTAATTTTTTAAAAAGAAATTAAATAACATTAGTTCTTAATTAGTTATTACACTTACATTAAGCTAATAATAAATTTGTATTAATTGGAATAATAATATAATCTCTTCACTTAATAAATTGATGAAGAATAAATTAAAATTATATTATTGAAAAGAATACTTGCCAGTTTAAAAAATTCTCATTTAGTTGTTATTAACTAACCTCCTTCAGACAACTTCAATATATGATAGAATGAATGTTTCATTATATACTGTATATATAATATGCCTTTACTTTTTTAATATATATATGTATTATGGCATACATAAAATAAAATATATACTATTGTATCATTTTGTGTAATATCAAATGCAAATAAATTTTAATTGAAAATATGTAAAATGTACAATATACAGAAGGTATATTATTAATTGTTATTAATGGTATATGAAAAATAGTACAGTAGATCCCCCTATAAAACCGTTTCCTATAGTTATGATTCCTATAAAAATTGTGGCATTATCCGTAAACAACGGTAAAAATAACTCCTATAATACGTAAAACGTCATCGGGCAGCCGAACTACTTACCCGCCGTCCGTAGCGCCACGCTACGGAGAGATTTCTATCGTCTGGACAGTATTATATAAATTATATATAAATTAGGTACTGTACATATAATTATATATTAATTATATATAAATTAGGTACTGTATATATAATTATATATTAACTTAATTTATTGTAACTTTATTATAATTAAATATATATTTTTCGCCGTCTAGCGTCACGCTACGGCGAGTTAGGCGACCTATCGTCTGTCCAGTACTGTAATTTTATACATTTCTTGTGAAAGAAACATTTCTTATTTAACGGCCATAAAAATTATTTATATTAAGGATGTCTCCAAAGGTCAACGAAGTTTTCGCAGAAAAATAATATCAGAAATCGCGGCCGCGGTTTGATGCGCTGTTCCGCGACGAAACCAAGCTTTAGCAACGGGCGTAGTCGAACGGTACACACTCGGTAAGCAATCCTACAATTTTTTGTTTATAACGTAGTTTATACGGATTATTTTCAAAAAAATATACGTATTTTGGAAATGTTGAGTCGAATTAGTCTAGAATCGATTAATTTTATGAAAGAAAACCTTTCAAACAGCCGTAGTCTGTAAACTATGATTCCTACAAAATTGATTCATAAAGAACGGAACGTATCTACCGTCTTATAGGGGGATCTACTGTAATCATTATAAAGAAAGATACCAATTGCCAGTATAATTTGCTTTAAAATTCAAACTTTTCAAAAATAAATATTTAATGCTTTATTAATAACAGAAATCAAGCAGGAAATTATAATTGCCTCAAACAATAACTGAACAGAGAACATGCAATTTAAAATGGGCAATTATTTTGTTGTAATTTGGCTGCAATTTTTTAATCATATTTTTAAAATTTATTTAATTTAAAATACAGGCATACCTCGACTTACGTCGTTTCGAGTTACATCGTTCCCGATTATACATTGTTTGTCAAAAAAGTATATGGAAAAATAAAAATCAAGTTTAAGTCATTTTATTCAACTTTACGTCTGTCTGCCACAAATATTGAAGTCATAATATCACTAGAAAAACGTTTAAAGCACATAAAATCATATTAAAATATATACAAGTATGTTCTGTATTTACAGTACATGCATTCGTAAATTTAGAATACTTTTTTCTGTACTATATTAAAAACTAAAATTTATTTGTTTGTAAGCTTAAAATAGATTTTTATTAACCATATATTATTAAAAATGCATTTATAAATAAAATACAGAACTGGGAATGGTATTTGTGGTTTAGCCTAGTGGCAAGTAAATTTGACTTACGTCGTTAGGCGATTCCTGGAACCAATTACCGATGTAAGGTGAGGTATACCTGTATTTGATTTTTGAAAGTGTTCACTGTTTCAATTGACACCATTATAATTTTTTCTTTCTTCATTCATTTTGTTTCTTATGAGAGTATCATGCGGATTTTCCAAAACTAGTATGTATATATAATTGAACAATGTTTTATTTGTTAATCATATGCATAGATATTGGAAGCATTTTGTGAACAATATATGAATGTTTCACCACGTGATAAGAGAACTGTTGCTTGCCTTGTAAAGCATTTTTGGGGAACAGGAAGTACTTTTTACAGAAAGTGGAGTGCATATTAAGCAAAGTTATGTTTTAAGTGATTATAAAATGACAGATATGTGAAAATGCTTGACACACTGATGCTTTCTCCAACCAAAAGATTATGGAAACTTTCTGATCAAACTGGATTATTTTATTATAGTTTGCAGAAAGCTGTGAGAAAAACTACACCTGCAAATCTGAGAAAGTGTTTGTACTTGTATTTGTAAAAATGATGGAGATTTTAAAATATTGCCATTTTTACAAATACAAGCAAGCACTGCCTGTTTCATGAATAATTATGTCCAAAAGTCTTTTTTGCAAAGAATATATTTTATTCTAGTAATAATAATGTTTTGTTCTTGTTATCAATAATGTATTTTAAACTATAAAGATTTTATATTGGGTGTGTGATGTTTTGATCACCCTATATAATTTACCTGAATTATTAAATAGTTTTTGTGAATATAGTTTACTGTAGACTACAACACTTGAAATCAAAGTCTATGCTTATATTAATTTGATAAATTAAAAAGATAACTTGAAGCAAGACAGAAGTTAACAAATTGGTATAAATAACTTGTCTATTCACTATTAAATTATAATTTTTATTCATAAATCTGTGTATTTAGTGATATTTCTTAAAAAGTAATGTGTAGTAGAAATACTGTATCAGAAACTATGTTTATTGTATATATTTTTGAAAGATAATTATTATATTATTAGTCTTCAACTAAACTAAAATTTGACCAGGTACTGAAAGCAAAATGTGAGAAATTGACTTTATAAATTTAGGTTTTGGAATTTGCTATAATTTGTTTTGTCATTTTATTTAAAATATAAAAATTATTTTATATATTGAATTTATAGAGTATGGTTTAGTTTAATAAATTAATTAATTGGCCATTTTTATCTAATATTGTTTCTATTTTAAAATTCGTAACAAAAATGATGGTGATTATTTTCCAGTTTGAATAAACATAATTTAGAAATTGTAGAAAACTATAGATGCAACAAAGTTTGAAACCAAATGTTTATGAAAAAAAAAAATGGAATTGGAAAGAATGTTTTTTTAAATTTTTTTTATTTAAAAAAAGAGTATTTTTATTCAATCTAGTATTAAAGCTTCAAATACCTACACAAACCCATAAATACACTATTCTAAGCACTATTTGCAACAAAATGTCAAAAAATGTAAGAAAATTCAGAATATGATGATGATGATGATGATAATGACAGATGTTGATATCATGAAACTATTATGTTCATTCCACAGGATGATCAAAGTTGCTGCTGTACTCTCACAAGCACAGATGACAACACAACAAAGAATGGCACATATGAGCAAGAAAACAGTATTTCCAATTTACTCTACTCTATTTTGCCCCACATATTTTCTCCATTATGTTCTCTGCACAAAGATTTGATATTCTCCGGAAGATTTTTACCCGATGCTTACTGCCACAACCACGATGCATGAAGATACAAAAAGGTAATTACTGTTTGGAGTTTGTAACACCTTTTAGCTGCTAGCATAAATGTGGAATGTGGATATTAAAAATATTTTTACACTATAATTTTGAATATATATGGAAAAGTTTCAGGAATTGCTTTATAATGTCAAGCTAATGTCAATGATGAAATTTTTTAATGAATTTTTCAAAATTTCTTGATGTTAGGTGATTTTTTTCCTGATATAACATATATGTTATAATGTATTTAAATTAGAATTTTGATCTTCAAGCAGAAAATGGTTTGTGCATTTAATGTTACAAAAACATGACTAAGAATCTTATGTATAAGTTGATTATTATTTGCATTTTTCAGATTGTTTAATAGAAACAAGTTACAGCATTTTAAATTAGATTGTTATTATTAAAGTGGATCTTTTTTTCTGATGTAGACAGCAATATATTTTTCAGAAATTCTTAAAACTAGTCTAAATAATTCACAGAGTAAAGAATGAAGATTAATTAAAACATTCAGATGAAGAGAATTACTAAAAAATATGTATAAGTAATGTGTCATACATATAAAATATTTACTCAATCTATATAAAAATAAATACTAAAACTTTGATCTTTTTCATGTAATATTGCACTTCAAATTAAAAGTTATTCGAATGTTGGCATATTTCATGTAGAGTACCTGTGTACAAAAATGATAAATGACTTTTCAATTCCAATTTTTCAAAGCATTAATTCAAAACTTTGTTATATCTACATTTTTTTTTGTTGTAAATATGTGAAAAAATATATAAATATCAAATTTATATAATACAGTAGACCCCTATAATGCTTAGATACGTTCCACGTTAATCGAATTTTACGTTGTAGGAATCATTAAATACATGAGCCAATCACAGCCCGACACGTGTGAAGTTTACGGACTAAGGCTGTTTGAAAGGTTTTCTTCTATAAAATTAACCGATTCTAGACTAATTCCGCTCAATATTTCCAAAACATGTATAATTTTTTGGGAATAATCCGTATAAACTATACTATAAACAAAAAATTGTAGGGTTACTTACCGAGTGTGCACCGTTCGAGTACGCCGTTGCTCAAGCTTGTTTTCGTCGCGGAACAGCACACAAAACGGCGGCCGCGATTTCTGATAAATAATTTATCGCAGAAAGATAACTTGACCTTTGGAGACATCATTAATATAAATAATTTTTATGGCCGTTGAATAAGAAATGTTTCTTTCACAAGAAATGTATAAAATTAGTGCTGTATTAGACTTACGGTACCTAATTTACATACTGTACAGACGATAATAAACTCAACTTACTAGCCTAAAATCTCCGTAGCGTGTTGCCAGGCGGCAGAAAGCATATATATAATTATAATAAAGTTACAATAAATTAAGTTAATATATAATTATATATACAGTACCTAATTTATATATAATTAATATATAATTATATGTACAGTACCTAATTTATATATAATTTATATATTATACTAAACAGACGATAGCAAACTCAATTTAGCCGCTCCGTAGCGTGGCGCAGGGTCGGAGGAAAGTAGTTCGGCTGCTCATCCACTATTGGTCCAGATTCTATCAATCTTGTCGCAACACGAGTCGGCGACGACATTTTAGGAGTTCCTTTATACGAATATTGCTACAATTTTTTCGCTATGTTATAGGAATTTCCATTATAGGAACCCACGTTATAGGGGGGTCGACTGTATAAATTTTTTTAAAAGGCAATTATGATCAAATAAAATAATTATACTCAGTTATTTTATTAAAGTGATAGTATTTGTTTTTTCTTTATACATTTATCTCACATTTTCTGTAAATTACTACCTGTTTCAGAAAAATTATATATTTTACTAATTTTATAATCATTAAGAGAATTATGAAGAAGGATTTTCTAACCAAATTTAAATAATAATAATAATTAGTTAACTGTTAATGATTTTGTAGTTTGATGATAAAATATTGGTTGCTATTTGCATTATTTATTTATAATCAAGTATTCAAGCCAGATTTATTATTAGGTTACAATTTACATAATTAAATGTATAAATGTTATGTAATTCGGACTAAAGATAGCAACTTAATCCACCTATCTTGTGTTAAATTTAATCGTTAGGATTAAATAATTTAGAATATTCTGGAAGAAATGATTTATCCAGAATTGATTTTCTTTAGACCAGATTCTTATCAGGCTATAACTTGTTTAACAGAGTATTTAGATTATGTAATTTGGATTGAAGATAGGAGATTGCATTGCCATCTTGTAATATTGTATGCTTAATTAGTCAAGTTCTAGTCTGAAAATGAATCCAGCTTTATTATTTGATTATTAATATAATTCAAACTTGGTTTTCAATATAGTTAATATGGTTTAGATTATAATTAGAGTTATGAATTGCTTTTTTATTGCTTGTTTTGATAAAGTTTTTGTAGGCCAATAAAAAAAATGAAACTGGTAAAGGTACTGTTTACTGATGAAACAGTAAAATAAACAAATTTCACATTTTTATCTTTTGTTCTGAGCATGTAGTTAAGTTTGGAACAAAAGAACAAAGATTCTATAAATTACTTGGATACACTTCTCATTCTGCCAGATGGTGAAATCTATGCTAGTGTATGTATTAAGCCTGCCTTCTCTCCTTTATATATGTCTTCTCTTTTGGTCCAGAATGGTATTAAATATTAGCAATTCATTCAATAATATATGCACTGTATCAAAATCAAGAATCTTCTTTGAGCTTCACAATATCCCAAGCATTATCTTATTGATTAATTGAATCTTATCAATACCAATTGTTAAAATTTTACATAAGACATTCACTATTTTCACACATATAGGAGTTTGACATTAGCTTTTAAAGAATTATCCAAATCTTGGAATATGATTATGGCATATTAATGCAATATCCAATATATATTGAATCTTAAAAAATGATAATGATTTTATACTTGATAACCTTAAATCCTGGATATACATTGTACTGACTCAAAATACAGATACAGACATTATAAGTAGGTCTTTGGTTAAAAGCCAGCATGAATACATATATAATGTTAGCATAGGATACAAGAATGCTGTGCTAGCATTCTTTGCAAGAATAGGTAGATGAGAAGTATACTAGAATGAGGCTAACAAGATCATTAGAGAGGTTAAATTCTAAACTCATGAAAACCTGGTGAGAGGAGCAAAATGCAGTTGAATCTGTCTATCTCAGACATGTTTATCTCAAAATTTATTTTTTCCCTGTACAGGTATTTGCAGCCTAAATTCAATATATATTTTCCATGTTTATCTCAAATAATTTTCTCTTAAAATTCATATATCTCAAATTATGGACTGAAGTGTCAATTACAAATTCAAAGCTCAGCATTTACATTTTGATAGCATAAACTGCAGTTGAGAAACATCTCTTGCAATACAGTACACAGTTGCAATTAAAGCTTTTCTCTGACTTTGGTTAATGGCTATGATAATGAATGATAATAATGATTGATGATAATGGCTATGACTTTGGTTTGCATCTCATTGAGTCATGTGTTGGAAACTATTGACAAACTATTTCTGTTAAGATATGTCAAAAAATACTTTATACCTAATATAGGTGTGTATCATTGTATATCGTACACACCTTTATTATCTTGCTATTGTATTGATAAAATATTATACCTTCAATCAAATCTATTATTGTTTACTGTGTAGGAACTTCTATATCTCAAAACCTGTTTGAATTGTCTTGAATTTTTTAATCTTTTCCATGAGATTAGAGATAGATAAGTTCAACTGTATATAAATGAAAGCTTGGAAGAAATTGTTTAAATGCCAAGGATTGCACATCTTTTTCATTGTCATGAAAGTTTGCCATAATGAAGTTATGGAAATGTGTTTATTTATTACACCTACTTATTTATTATAAATTCATGTTTAAAAATTTTTTTATATTTTGTGGTTCAAACGTTTTATTTGAATTGTTGTAACACATTTCACATGTTGATCCATTAAGACGAATTTACCAATAGGGGGTTGATTTTGTTTGTTTAAAAATAAAAATACAATAAGTAGTAAAAATAGTAAATATCTTCATTTATGTTTTGCACAATTACACTATTTAGATAATGAACTTCAATTATCTTTCACTGATGAATTTGGCATCTTGATTAACTTGACAAAACAGAAATTTAATTTAATAAATACAACTAATTAATAATTACATAAAATATCAAGTTAACAGCCAAATTCCTTTATTGGGCTGTCAAGGCTAAATAATGCCCTGTTTATTATTTCATTATTTAGCCTTAATAGCCCAATAAAGGACTGGCTGTTTTGTTTAATATTTGATAGAAATGTAATTTTTTTAAAAGAATATTAAGAAATAGTTATAACTTTTTAGAATGATGTGCTCAGTAGTAGATACTTAATGCACTTATTAACAAATTTATCACTAATAATTATAGATACAAAAATTGGTTAATTAATGCTTAGTGTTAAATATTAAATGTATATTATATTATAGTTTTTGTTTAGTGCACACACTACTTTCTATTTGTTATTGATTGGATAAAATAGTCTTAAACTGAAAATATATAAACATATAATGAGTAAGTATTACTAATAATAAATGTGCATAAGTGGGATCCCTTGATATTGGAATATGATTTAAAAGAATTATTTTATTGTCAGAAATAAAGCAATACTGTGTTAATAACAATAAACTAGTGACTTTCAGTGTACTTATTAATCATTTCAATCTAATTACAGTGGTGCCTCGTATAACGTACTTAATTCTTTCCAGGTGCACATCTGTTTAGTGAAAAGTCTGTTATACGAAACGCATTTTTTCATAGAAATATATGTTAAAACATATAATTCGTTTCACAGCATAAAATAACCATACCATAAAAAAATGAAAATGAAGCAGTCACCAATTATGCCAGGTAGTCAGATGTTGTGAGGAGGTGGTGGAGAAACACTTTCTTCACAAATTCATACAGATACAGACTTTTTACACATTGCAGCAAGTCTCTTTTTATTGTTTTTTAATCGGAGTCAGATATAGGAGAGGCTACCGGAGCTTGCAGGATCAACTCCTCTTGTTCCACCCTTTGTTTTTTGGCAGCTAGCTTCTTGAAAAACATGTCCAAGGTGGTCTGTTTCTCTCTCTTCTTCAACACCTGTCGGAAATAACAGGCAAGGGTGTCGTTGTAGAGATCATTGATCCTGTTGGCCTCAGCTCTGTTTGGATAATGAGTGTTGGTAAACTCCTGAACCTCTCTTCATTTGACAAGGAAGTTTTTGTCAACTTTCACTCCTTCTGATGATTTCTTGCTTTGTTTCAATTGAAATTACCTTTCTGTTTTTTTTTTTAGAAGCCATGATTTGCACAACACAATAAATATAAATACCTTGCACTGAGGTGATGTACTGTATGTAATAAACAAGGGAGCAAACTGAATCCCAGTGGGAGCTCTGTACTTCAGATATACTAATAATATATTCTAATAATACTAATATATTATAAAAATAGAAGATTGTCATTGGCAATGGCAAGAATGGAAACATCATTCGCACTTGTTTGCAGAAAGTCTGTTGTTTGCAGCCAGTCTGTTGCTCGAGTCACGTAATGGCCAAACAGAAAGTCCGTTGTTCGCAGCATCTGTTATTTGAGGCGTACATCATATGAGGCACCACTGTATTTCATTAATTACATATAAGAATAATTTTACATGAGAACAGTTCTACATTTTAATGTAATTATGTAAAATATTAAGAAAGAATAAAAAAATTCTATTCTAAATTACATTAACTTCTTTAAGTGAAGATATAATACATAAAACTTTTGAATTTTAGTGATTTAATTATATATATTATAACAAATTTTAATGGTATTGTCTTGTTTTTTAATATAGAGAATTCGGTCGACAGTTGATGAAAAAGAACAAAAACAATTACTGATGGATTTAGAAGTAGTGATGAAAAGTAATGATTGCCCGTTCATTGTACAGTTTTATGGAGCAATTTTTAAAGAGGTATTATTAATTATTATTTATATTTAGCAATCTTAACAACTAGGTGTTCCTTTACTTTAATCATTTTGATGATATGAATCTTCTAACAACAAAGTGTTAATCGCTATAAATAAATCTCTCAAACTTACCTGAGGAAGGTCCTTGGTGTGGACTGAAAACATTAATGACATAACAGTTTTCACAACTAAATGCAAAGCACAATTAGGTTTGTGAGTTTTGTTTATAGAAATTATTAAACTTTGTTTTTTAATATATTTATGTGGAATATATGACATTTTGTAATAATTATTAAATAACAAAACTTTCAGTTTTTTCTGATTTATTATTATTATTATATTAAAATCTACATATTAGTTTAATATCTGTATACTTTTTGTAATAGAAAAAATTAATTGGTATAGAAGTATATTAACCATTTATAAATCAAGGGTTTTATCCATTAACCCAGCTTTGCAATTGCCCCAATCATTTGATTTCTGTTCTGATATACAGCTGTCCCTTGATAATCCGACAGGTATGGGACCAAAGGGGTGTTGGATTACCAAAAGTGTCCAGATTACCAAAAGTGATTACATATTTGGCATTGTTTTGCTAGTAGTAGCCTACAATATTCCCTACTCCAACTGTTCAAACAGAACTGCTCACGGAAAACACACGAAATGTGTGTCATCATGTAAGAATTGGGTGGGGGAGATTTACATCGCGACATGCTTCTGTGCAAGCAGACATGTAATGGGGATGGGTACCTTGATGGGAGGTGCGTTGGACTACTGAGCATGTCGGATTACAAAACATTGGACTATCAAGGGACAGCTGTAATTATAAAATGTTGGAATATGAAATTCTATGTCCAGAATGGAATGTCCATATAAACTCTGATTCATCATTGGTACAGCTCAATGGCCGAAATTGATGCTGTGACTTATAATAAGTTAGGTTATAAACAGGGCTGTGGAGTCGCGTAAAAATCTTACGACTCCAACTCTGACTTTTCCTTATCATCCGACTCTGACTCTGACCAGGGGTGGACTTGTTACCAAAAGAAACCCGGAAATTCTGATGTCATCACGTGACCTCAGAATAAAAGATTCAATAGAATTCTAATAAAGATAGAGCGTAGAAACTTTTTATTCCAAAACTAAAAGACTTTTCTAAGTACAGTAGAGCGTCGATTATCCGAAAGAATTCCAGTCAGCAAATTTAAATTTTCGCCAGTGCTGTGGCGCTGCAATCTTTGGCTGTGTCTTGGGCTACTCAAATATTTTATGTTTTTGATACTAAATTAACTTCTGAAGTATAATTTTTTTATTGTTTTTATATTTTCCAATATATTTATTTTGTTTGTACAAAATAAAAAAATAATTTTTAACGATACAATAGTCTTTGCTAGGCTTAACATCAACAAAAATTCAACACGAAGCGACACGCAACGGAGAAAAATTTCAATATGGGATAAATTAATATTTTTTTTCATACATAATCAGTTATCCGAAATATTGATTTTCCGAACAACCCCAGTCCCCAATTGATTCGGATAATCAACACTCTACTGTAATATATAAATATGTATTTGATAATTTTTACTTTTCCCGTTGTTATATATAACAGAGAAAAAGTGTAGCGCTCGCTCAAAAAATGACCCCTCCCTCAAAAAATGAATTTTTGGACTTGGGACATCTCGAAATTTTGAGATATGCAAAAGATTTGAGGTTTTTTCTATATGTGTGGATGTTAGACTGTGGGGGGGCACGATTTTGTTCACCCTGTTTGAAGCCTAATAATTTTTGTGGTCAGAATCGGAGTCGGATGGTTTAACACAGGAGTTAGTTATTTAAGTAAAAGTGGTTGAACTAAATCATGTCCCCATATACATTCTAACATCTTAAGCGAGAACATCTTAACGGGTTTTACTGTACTATTATAAAATTGAAAAAAGCTTACTTTGAGGGTAAAGACGAGTTTTATTTCATTTTTTTAAATTTTGAATGCTAATAACGAGTAAAATATTAAGAGATATGACACATGACCACTTTTATGTCTTCACCCTGTCGATTTTTAATTAAGAACCAAAATTTAATAGTATTAATGCCCCTTTATACGCAAGCTAGTGCCACATTTCGTTTCTTAAACTTTGATTCCAATACTTTTCCGTTTTATATACATAACAAGTTGGTAAGTAAAAAAGGAGTTGGAGTCGGCGGATATTTTGACAACTCCGACTCCACAGCCCTGGTTATAAACATATATATCATTTCTGTTACAATTGAGATTGAATGAAATTTAGCTACAATATAAGAAGTAAATTTGGTTTCTTGTTAATCATTGTTGTATTTTTTGTAGTTTTAATGATAATGCTGTTGTTTGTTTTTACTTTTTGGATGTGGAAAAAATGAAAGGAAAAGGTCGTGAATATTACAGAAAATAATCATTTTACTGTATTACAATATCACACTGAGTTATCTTTAGTTTCAATTTAAAAAATATGCAAATCTTTTGTTTGGTCAATTGAATTGTACTTTTGATAATTAATCTTGTAATAACATGATATATAAATTCTGTTTTTTTTTTTTTTTTTTTTTTTTTTTTTTTATTTAAAAAAAAAGNTTTTTTTTTTTTTTTTTTTTTTTTTTTTTTTTTTTTTTTTTTTTTTTTTTTTTTTTTTTTTTTTTTTTTTTTTTTTTTTTTTTTTTTTTTTTTTTTTTTTTTTTTTTTTTTTTTTTTTTTTTTTTTTTTTTTTTTTTTTTTTTTTTTTTTTTTTTTTTTTTTTTTTTTTTTTTTTTTTTTTTTTTTTTTTTTTTTTTTTTTTTTTTTTTTTTTTTTTTTTTTTTTTTTTTTTTTTTTTTTTTTTTTTTTTTTTTTTTTTTTTTTTTTTTTTTTTTTTTTTTTTTTTTTTTTTTTTTTTTTTTTTTTTTTTTTTTTTTTTTTTTTTTTTTTTTTTTTTTTTTTTTTTTTTTTTTTTTTTTTTTTTTTTTTTTTTTTTTTTTTTTTTTTTTTTTTTTTTTTTTTTTTTTTTTTTTTTTTTTTTTTTTTTTTTTTTTTTTTTTTTTTTTTTTTTTTTTTTTTTTTTTTTTTTTTTTTTTTTTTTTTTTTTTTTTTTTTTTTTTTTTTTTTTTTTTTTTTTTTTTTTTTTTTTTTTTTTTTTTTTTTTTTTTTTTTTTTTTTTTTTTTTTTTTTTTTTTTTTTTTTTTTTTTTTTTTTTTTTTTTTTTTTTTTTTTTTTTTTTTTTTTTTTTTTTTTTTTTTTTTTTTTTTTTTTTTTTTTTTTTTTTTTTTTTTTTTTTTTTTTTTTTTTTTTTTTTTTTTTTTTTTTTTTTTTTTTTTTTTTTTTTTTTTTTTTTTTTTTTTTTTTTTTTTTTTTTTTTTTTTTTTTTTTTTTTTTTTTTTTTTTTTTTTTTTTTTTTTTTTTTTTTTTTTTTTTTTTTTTTTTTTTTTTTTTTTTTTTTTTTTTTTTTTTTTTTTTTTTTTTTTTTTTTTTTTTTTTTTTTTTTTTTTTTTTTTTTTTTTTTTTTTTTTTTTTTTTTTTTTTTTTTTTTTTTTTTTTTTTTTTTTTTTTTTTTTTTTTTTTTTTTTTTTTTTTTTTTTTTTTTTTTTTTTTTTTTTTTTTTTTTTTTTTTTTTTTTTTTTTTTTTTTTTTTTTTTTTTTTTTTTTTTTTTTTTTTTTTTTTTTTTTTTTTTTTTTTTTTTTTTTTTTTTTTTTTTTTTTTTTTTTTTTTTTTTTTTTTTTTTTTTTTTTTTTTTTTTTTTTTTTTTTTTTTTTTTTTTTTTTTTTTTTTTTTTTTTTTTTTTTTTTTTTTTTTTTTTTTTTTTTTTTTTTTTTTTTTTTTTTTTTTTTTTTTTTTTTTTTTTTTTTTTTTTTTTTTTTTTTTTTTTTTTTTTTTTTTTTTTTTTTTTTTTTTTTTTTTTTTTTTTTTTTTTTTTTTTTTTTTTTTTTTTTTTTTTTTTTTTTTTTTTTTTTTTTTTTTTTTTTTTTTTTTTTTTTTTTTTTTTTTTTTTTTTTTTTTTTTTTTTTTTTTTTTTTTTTTTTTTTTTTTTTTTTTTTTTTTTTTTTTTTTTTTTTTTTTTTTTTTTTTTTTTTTTTTTTTTTTTTTTTTTTTTTTTTTTTTTTTTTTTTTTTTTTTTTTTTTTTTTTTTTTTTTTTTTTTTTTTTTTTTTTTTTTTTTTTTTCTTGTTTTTACAAAAAGCTCTTGTAATTAATATTGTGGAAAAGTTCTTGATCTTTAGAGTATTTCCTGTGCAGGAATAAAGAAAAAAAATTGAAGAAATAAATCACACATACTACAATTTCAATGCAAGGAACTTAATTTTTTTTCAGTTCTTCTGATCACTTCTCTGTCCATTCGCTATAACAGTCTGACATTGTGACAAAGAAAACAACACAAAAAAGAAACAAACTCATGTATCTTCTTTCTCATGTCTCCTTTTTGAAAGAAAATCTTCGTCTTTTCTTTCAAAAGGTTTTCAATTCCTCTCTTGAGCATACGTGATATCCCTCTTTGATCCGGGTTCTTTGGTCATCATCAAGTCGTGGAAGGTTTACAGACTACCTTAACTACAACAATGCCCATCCAGACAAAGGAGATCATATGACAACATGTCCACAATATGTTATATAACTTGCCAATAGGGATTGACAGTCAAATTAGTCAATTTATTATCTACTAGCAGACCCTGCCACGCATTGTTTTGGCTCAAAACGTATCTATATATATAACCCATTCAACGTGTCCGTCTGTCCCGTAACCATTTGATAACGGACACTAGAGGCGCCCCTATCGTGTGTCATATTTCAAACATTCAAATTAACAATTTTAATTATTATTTAAATTAACAATATAAATTATTATTATTATTCATTTGCCCAATAAATTATTATTTGCCCAATATATAACAATATAAATAATTCAATATATTTGTAATAGGAATTTATTATTGTCACGGAATGCCTGTAATGTTCACTAGGGGGCGAATAACGAAAAACCAGATAGATTTGAACCACTACGATAAAACGATAAGGTTTGAAATAGTTAAGGTAATATNGTCTACAAAAACTGGAGCGACCAAACAAATAGCAAGATTTGTCGCACTTATATCTTGTAAACTATAAATGATATTTTTATGATTTAAATTTTATTGGATAGAAGGGTTACATCCATATTTAAAATGGTGGGTCATGGATTGTAGCTGTGTGGGGGAGGAATAGCGGTTTGGTGTGAACATTGAAAATGGTGATGCAATGTGGTGTTTGGGCAGTGAAACTTTGGATGGCGATGAGATAGGATGTCAAAATTGGTGTCTATTTCTATGGAACAACAGGGTCTATGATATTATTTAGCAATAATAATCGATAAAATAGATGTAAAGTTATAAGCTGATACCTTTGTGAGTTGAAGAAAATTTTCATGTCTAAGAAATTGCAAAGGAAATACTAACAGAAATGTGTATCATTGGAAAGAAAAATTGAAAAGGAATCAGAAAAGTCCAAAATAACTAGTGCCAAACGATTCAGATTGTATAATGTAATAAAACCCAGCAAGTCAACTCCAATGCGAATACTTTGAGTGTGTTGCCACATGAACCAATAGATATTGACTTGGAATGTGATAACCAGCAAGACTTTATTTATTTACATCTTATCCTTCCTCTAACAATACAAAGATGGATTTATGCCTTAAATGATTGCGATTGTGCCCTGTACACAACCTCCCAATTTTTTTGATGTGTGTGATATCTGGGGTTAACTCATTGCAGTCTGTTGATGCCGTGGGGGAGGCAAAGAATTGTCAGTCAGGTTAACAATATTGTGTGCAGGACATTTTGGACTGCATGGCGGCCACGCAGTTTACATTTTTATTGATTGTATTCTTAGCTACTGGCTACATACAGTAGGTGGAGATAATAATCCTGCAATTGACAGATTGATGATCTGTGATAGGTCTCTCTAACTGCAAATTTTCACCTTCAGATGGCCCATGAAATTATAGAAGTATACCAAAGACAGAGTTAAAGTTGGGTTTTAAAAAACATCAATGATGACTTTCTTTTCTGCCAAAACTCAGACTCAGCCACTCTCATTATAAGTTTTGGGGAGGGATGGGAAGAAATGTAATGACCTTGAATGGGTTCGTGCTGAACCAAAAGTAGCACGTGATGAACCATTTCTCTCTCTCGCAGAATGAATAATTTCTTTGCCTCCTTACTTTAAGAAAATTCGATTTTATGACATGACATTAGTCTTTTTCTTATTTAAATAAAATTTATGAATTAATTTAAATTAAATCATGAAATTATTTATATGACATAGAGATGACATAGCTAATTATGTAATTGATTTTATGCCAAGTTTTTCATTTCTTTGTAAGTGAATAAAGTGTTTTTAATAGAAAAATTTATATAATTGTGTACAACATGGATGGGTAACCTTTATCTATGTAAGGGTCACATTTCAAAACTTTTACACTGATGCAGGCTGCATACAAGAGAAAAGAGGGGGAAAGTCAGTAAATCACAATTATTTATTCATATTTAGCATAGATATACTTAATTTAGCTTCTGGAACTGATATAAACATAATATATCGGAAATATTTGGTTAAATATTAGTCACTGCTAGTTTTAAATTAGTTTTGATGTGTCTGTTAGCCTGTTTCTTGTTTTAATTTTTACCAAATTCATTGCAGAAAAACTATTCACATCATAAGTTATAGAAAATAACATTTGAATTTTTGCTGCATACTTCCTTAAGCTGGGAAATTGATATATTTATTCATATTTTATGTGATGCGAGCCGCAAAAAATATTACTGTGGGCCGCAGGTTGTCCATCCCTGGTGTACAAATTAGGCTTTAATTAATTAATTAATAGACTTGGCTGAATATTACATAATGGAAAGGGAAAATGCAGAGATGTTAATAAATCAGCAAATAATGTCATAATTGGTCATGGAAAATCAAGGAATGTTAGGGAATCAAAGATGAAGTTACTTGTACAGACCCTGAATGTAATTTTACCTCCTTTTTTAATGGATTCGTTTCTTGGAATAATGGATTATTTCTATCCAAAATCTATTGTAAATTTTGCATTTTTTTCAACATTTAGTTAATATTTGGATATTTCTGGAAATTTGTAGAGTTTGATGATGCACTTGTTACATTTGGGACATGTACAATTGAAGAATTCTACGAGAGTCAGCTGGCTGATTGCGATTGATGAGGAGCCACTTAGTAAACACTCTGTCGCTGGTCCAAGTGTAGTGCCGAAATTTAGCAAGGCCATTGAATATTTCCAAGTCATGAAGATTTTCCTAATAGTTTCAGCTAGGGTTTCTCATTTCCAGGTCTTTTGCTTGTCTCGGGATTCTGAGATAAAAGTGAATTGTTTCCCGGGAAATCCCGGGATAGAATTAATTAATTTTTAAGATATACAAAATATCTTGAAATCAAATGATATAATTATTTTTCATTTTTTAAAGTAATTTAATATGTTCTTAACCTCCAAAATTATATTAATAATGCTGTGTAAGATATATATTAACCGAGTTAACTCGGGCAAGTTCTATAGCGTTACAGAAAATCTGGTCCTTTCGGCCCCCAAAAAAAAATTTTTTTGGACTTTTGGAATGTTTTTTAAGTCCAAATTTTTTCAAAAATTTTTACCCGTGCAAAAAAATTTTTATCACAATTTTAATCAACCTTTAATGACGCGCGATTAACGCTTAATTGTTTTTTAATTAACGCAATTTTTTTATCAAATTTAATTAATTGTTCTAAAGTTGTAGTGCACGGATTTTACTTCGGTAAAGTTATTTAAAGCTAATTTCTGATGTCAAAAACGACCTCTAATAGTTTTTTAATTTTTTTATTGTATATAAGTTTAATTAAATCGGGGGTCGTAAATCGCAATTAAAATTTGAATTTTTTAAAAATATTTAAAAATATACCACCAGCTAGTATTCATCCTACTTTAAACCCTTGTCCTCCCGAGACGTCTATGAGAATGTCCCAGGAAATCCAACAGCAGATGTTCTCAAGGTCATCCAGCTGTAAACACAATGACTCATTGGTGTCAAATTTCGCAGAAAGGCGAGACAATGGAAAATAAAGTTTGAAGCTTTTTCTTTAAAATTAATGCATTTCTTTCATTTTTTCTGTTTTAAATATTTTTTATGTTTAATTACATTAATATCAAAAATTGGAAAGTCGCAAAGGAGTTAAAAATTACCTTTGAATTACGTAGAAATTTTCACAAATAGAAAAAATTTATTAAAGTTTGATTTTTTTATTGAAGTTGGAAACTGCATACAACAACAACAAAAAGAAAATGCTTTGAATTGAGTTAAAAATAAAAAAAATGAACTTAGATCAAACTTCAAACTTAGAAGGTAATTTTTGTTTTTTAAATAAAATATAATACAAAATATTGTAAATTTTTATAAGATTTTAAAAAGCAAAGATGGTCAATACTCCAATTACTCAATCTAATTCTTATTTTAGTAATGAAAAGTCTTGCTACTGAGAATGCCCTTTCTGATTCAATTGTTGTGATTGGAATCGTGTTTAATGCATTTAAGAGAAGACAGATATTATGTATTTTTTCACCTATAGCCTGGAAGATTTCTAGTTTGTTTTCGAGATTGTAGTACTTCTTTTCTCTCTACTATTCTTGATTTGTCCACCTCAGCTGCTTTAGTAGAAACATCATAGCCCAATAATTTGGCAGTTTGTCTTTTATAATCAGGTTATGAAGAAAAACTTCATACTTGCAGACTTTGTACTCGTTTGTATCATTGCCCAATTTGTACAACCTGGCATTATGCAGTTATTCAAGCTACTGGGCATGGTTAGAAATTAAGATAGCATAAGCACAATTATTCCAGATATTACGGGTAAAGAATTTTGAGAGTCCTGCCACAAATAAGCTATGTATTGATTATTGACCATTTGTGACATGCCATAATCAGCAAAAAACTAATAAGTAGGTTTAAAATTAATAAATAAAAATGTATTCTGACAGTTTATGAGTGAATTATACTTTCTATTTGCAAAATTTTCTCAACCTTAACGCAAAATAAGAAATTGAATTTTTAAGAAATTTGTGGGATTTCCCAGGTTAAGGAAACAACCGGGATTCTGTTTGAGAAACCCTAGTTTCAGCACAAATGAACAAGCTGCACTTTACCTGACATTGCTAATATTAAGTGATTGTGTAGTAAATAGACAGAAAAGTGGCATCAAAAGAAACAAAGATGGATGAGATTTTTTAACAAATCATGATGTCAAGCAAAGTTCTAATGAGCATATGTAATTTGCCCCCCCTTTTTTTGCGCTTATGGTAATTTTCGTCAACTTAGTTGTACACGTGTATGGAATAATATACAATCATATACGGCATAATATACACATGCATCACGTGTTTCTGTAAGATAAAGAATAGAGATCTCAAGAGAATGAATAATTTCAAGTACTGGTATTCCTTATATGTAGAAGTTAAAAATTGAAAATTTTGTCAAATAATGGATATTTTCCTGGGTGTACAGGATATCTGTTATTTGGAATATAACAGATTCATGGGACAATGGATGATTTTTGGCAGCTCAAGTGATCCATTAAAATGAGATTCTTCTGTATCAATATAATGTACAGTACCATAAAGTACAGGATGATTTCATGTCTCCAATATTCTTGCAATTATTTTAAAACCAAACTGAGTTGTTATTTACATTTTAGAATATTCTTAGTAGTTAAAATGTAGTGTTAATTTCATTTATATTTATACTGTATGTATTGTTTTTTTAGGGTGATTGTTGGATTTGTATGGAATTGATGGATACTTCTTTGGATAAATTTTACAAATTTATTCATGAGAGGCAAAAGCTTAGGATACCAGAAAGCATTTTGGGAAAAGTAACTGTTGCAGTAAGTAATGCGATTGTAAAATTTTAAAGAAGTGTTTTTTCATTGATGCATGTCAAGTATATAAATATTTTAAATTTACAAAGATATGATTTTAAATTTAATAATAGTTTTTTGTATGTATATATGTAAATAGCAAACCATTAATTAGAGTATTAATAAAATTTTATTTGTTTTATTAATTTTATATATTACAGTAACACCCTGAGTTACGTAACATGTGACTTACATAAATTCACAGTTACATAAAATGTAAATCTAAAAAATTGGAAAAAAATCTGAGTAGAGTAGCATGTAATTTTACAAAGAATTATTTTATTTCAAACATTCATTCTCTCTCTCTCTCTCTGGCCCACCAGTGGCCAAGCAGTCTTTGTTCCCTGAACACTGGGAGTTTGGTTGTCAGTTCATGCCTCGCTTGGATAGGCTGGCCACATGAGTTTTCAAGGTTTTCTCCACGTCTGTAATGCCTAAATAGGGGCCAATTTCCCTTAAAAAGATCTCCCGGAAGGCATCCTCCTAGGCAGATTGCCCAACTGTTGTGTTGCCATAACTAAACAAACAAACAACAAACTCTCTTTCTCTCTTCCTTTCTTTCTTTCGCACTGTACTGATTTATTACTTTAATGCTCTGCTAATCCTTTACTTTTTCGTCTAATTGTAAGCACATGTGCAAGGATACTGGGCACTCTTTCTCGTAAACAATTCTTTTATACAAAACAATAATAAATAATATATGTACAGTACACATATAATTGAGTTTAATTGAGTAAGTATTGAGTTGTTAATTACATAGTTACACTTAAACAATTTACAAATTTGACTTACATAAAATTTGAGTTATGTAAAGGTCTATGGTCTGTATTACTTACATAACTCTGGGTATTACTGTATATAAAAAGTTAAATTATATTTTATTTTGTGTAATCAAACTAACCATAATAAATGTAGACTGGCTCAGTGAATGGGATGGTTTGGATTTCTGAATTTTTCAGAGTATAAGGGTAACTTTAAGATTCAAATTTAAAGAAGGATTATTGTGACATCATCACGATGCTGGCCTGCAATTTTTAGTCATATTTTAAATTAATTAAATTTAAAATACAAGGTGTGTTCATAAAGTAATGCAATGTTGTCATAAAAAACATTTATTCAAGATATAGTTACAAATGTTAGGAAATCTTTGAAGTACTCACTTCGTGCATTTACACATTTTTTCAGTGATTTTCCTAGGCACAGTACATGCCCTGGAAGGCCTTGACGGGAACCTCATTCAGAGTGGTCATCACGGTGGCTTGGATTGCTTCAATGCTATCAAAATGGTGTCCTTTGAAGGTGGTCTCAATCCTCAGAAACAAAAAGAAGTCTGTTGGAGCCAAGTCAGGACTGTAAGGAGGCTGGGATAGCATTTCCAAGTTGTGCTTCACCAGGAACTCAGATGCATAGAGCAGTGTGGCTGGGAGTGTTGTCATGATATAGAGCACCCATGTAGTGGTGATCTTTTTTCTCATGCGAAAGAGCCTTTTTCTCAATCTTTTGAGAACATCCATATAGTATAGACGATGTTGATGGTCTGTCCTGGAGGTACAAACTCCTTGTGAACCACATTCTTAGTGTCGAAAAAGACAACCAGCATTCTTTTCACTTTTGACTTGCTCTTTCTTGCCTTCTTTTGTTTGGGGGACACCGGGGTGTGCCATTCGACACTTTTGTGCTTTGTCTCTGGGTTGTACTCAGATACCCATATTTCATCTCTGGTAATAACATTGTCTAGAAAATCAAGCTCAATTTGAACACATTCCGAAAGTTCATTTGCGATTTGCAATTTGAACACGTTCCGAAAGTTCATTTGCGACTCGATTGGCCTTTTGCTCGTCTGTCAATACTTTGGGGACCAGCTTGGCATACACCTTTTGTATGTTGAGATCGTTTGTTACGATGGTGTGCACAGTGGCTATTTGAAGGTTCAGTATCTGTGCAATTGTCCTAACACTCATTCAGTGGTCAGAGTTCAACAAATCACGCACATGAGTCACATTTTTGTCAGTGTGGCTGGTTGATGGCCATCCAGAGCAGGGGGTTGTCAGTCACCTCTTCCCAGCCCTCCTTAAACATCTTCAACCACCTTGAAACTTGTGAAGACGATAGAGCAGAGTCCCTGTAGGCTTGCTGGATCAATTGATTGGTATTGGTATAACTTTTGCTGATTTTGGCCCAGAATTTGATTATATAACATTGTTCAATTGTTTGCTCCATCGTGTGTCATGATACGGTCTTTAAGATGAATTTCACAAAATCAACAATATTGACACAACCACTGCTCAGAGCAGACTGACCTTGGGCCCATTGTGAAGCCAAGCATCCCCCCATGTAGCCCAAGTGGTCTGAACATGCTGTGACACACAGTTGCTTCACAATAAAATCACTTTGCATTACTTTATGAACACACCTTGTATATGCTCTTGATCTCAAACTAGTAGTGGCTTGCCCCTGTACATCATACTTTTCCTGATAACAGTGTCATGCTGGTCATTTATGTAACTCTGTTCTGGGAAAAATTTTTGAATTGAAATCATGTGACTTCTGATCTAGACTGGAAGTTCAATTTACAGTTAATTGGGCCTTTGGACCGTAAACTTTCCATATCTGGTCTTGACTTTCATCTATCTAACACCGTTCTTGAGATTATGGAAGGACAGACAAATGGACGGATGACAGTGGGAATTTATAGAATACAATTTTTTCAAATTCAGCCTAATAAAGAAAAAGAAAACATGTATAGCATATTATTTTTAGTGTAAAATAATATAGTACTAATTTATTTTGGAAGCCATTCACAAAAGATGCATTTATATTCAAAATTCTAAAAAAGATTATTTTTACATTTTTGTGATTTCATAACTTCATGTGCATTTGGTAAACTAATTTTTTGTAATTAAATTATTTTTCACAACATGCATATATATCAGGGCTTCTTAAACTTTTTTTACTCACGACCCCATTTATGATTGTGATTTTTTTCGCGACCCCCCCCCCCCAAGTATATATACAGGCATACCTCGACTTACGTCGTTTCGAGTTATGTCGTTCCCGATTATACGTCGTTTGTCAAAAAAGTATATGGAAAAATAGAAATCAAATTTATGTCATTTTATTCGACTTTACGTCTGTCCGCCACAAATATTGAAGTCGTAATATCACTAGAAAAACGTTTAAAGCACATAAAATCATATTAAAATATATACAAGTATGTACTGTATTTACAGTACACGCATTCGTAAATTTAGATTACTTTTTTTGTACTATATTAAAAACTAAAATTTATTTGTTTGTAAGCTTAAAATAGATTTTTATTAACCATATATTATTTAAAATGCTTTCCTAGTGATAAGTAGATTCGGAGACAGGTAAATTCGACTTACGTCGTTTT